ATGCTCGTTTTTTGCACCCGGGAGGCTTCTCAGCGGCCTCCTGGACTGTCTTCAGGGAGTCCTGGTGAGCCTTTGGACCCTATGGGAGCCCAGTTCGGCCGTTCCGGGTCCATCTTCGCCCGTCATGGAAACCTGAGCCCGTCTTAGGGCCCTCGGGGGGCCCCCTCCAACCGTGCAGGGGTTCTCCGGTGGCCCCCGTCGGGGCTCCTAGGTAAAAGAGCTCTCTTGTGCTGCTCGAAGCTCTCTTCAGGCAGTCTGGGAACCCTCTTGTGGGTCTCTCGGGCCGTCTGCGGCTCATTTTGGGAGCTTCTGGGGCCGTCGCGGCCGCTGGCAAGACTGAAAAGCAAAGATCCAAAAAATATAAGTTGTTCCATAAGAAATGCTTGATTTTTGCCCTTGGAATGCCTTCCCGGAGACATCTTGGACCGTCTTGAGTGCCTTTGTGGCTGAACCCCAAGGGGTCGGCGGATTTCGGTTGCAACGAGCGGCGCATGTGGGACCCCGCCAGCGAAGCCCGCGTAGAGGCAGGGCCATCCGCAGGGACGACGCCCCTCCGGACAGTGACGCAGCAGGACTTGGCGGGTTCGCGTTGTGGATAGATGGGAGCGCACCTGCTCCCCCCTACCCCTCACTGGTTCCCCACGTTTCTAGGCCTCCTAAATGGGGTCGGAGCAGATGAGGTCGGAAGATCGGGCCGTCGGTGGAGTGGGGGGGACGCATGGGGGCGGCAGACCTTGAACCCTCGATGGAGCTCCCTATGGAGCCACCAAGCGCTGTACTGGGTGGGGGGGGCGCATGTGGGCGGTAGCACTGGGGCCTTCGGTGGAGTTCCTTATGGGGCCACGAAGCGCTGTAGTGGGTGGGGGGGACGCATGCGGGCGGTAGCATTGGGGCCGTCGGTGGAGCTCTATGGTGCCACGAATCGCTGTACTGGGTGGGTGAAGCGCAGGGAGGAAAAAGGAGCGGGGAGGGGGAGGAGGGAGGAAGGAGAAAGGAGGAAAACGCGGGGACCGTCTCCTTAAAACGAAAACCCAACACCACAGGATGGCTGGCGAAAACTCAACAACGGGCCCCAGACGGCCAAACCTCGCCCCAAAATGGCCACAATAGAGGCCCAGAGGGCGAACGCGAACCGAACATTTTATCTTTCCACCCCGAAAAACCCAGAGGCCCCAAGAAACCCCCAATGGACCCAACAGCGGCCCCCAATAAGCCAACAGGCCCCAAAAGGCACGAACGAGACCCCAAAGAAACCCCAAAACGGCCCCCATGACGCTTCAAACCTGCCTCCATCAGGCTCCACCAGGCCCTCAGATAGCGCCTAAGAAGCCCACGACGCCTCAACCGTGGACTCGCCGCCTCTTTTTGCGGGTCGGCGGAATGGCGTAAACCTTTTGAATCCTAAAAAGAGGGGTCCGAAACCAGAGGGGGGGGGGGGGGGGGGGGCGCCCTTCCCCCCCCCCCCCGCCGCAAAGAAATGGGAGGTCAAGGCCCCCGGCGCGCAGACATTACCCCGATGATCATCTCCCAGACTAATCTGAAAGAGATCCTCATCGCCATCCTCGCGAATGCTGAGGCACTCTTCCTGCTCTCTCATCGCCCTAATACTATTTCGCCCTAGCGGGAGGCCTCCTCTCGCCCCCCGTTTTCCCCCCTCGCCCCCTGGGCCCCGCCCCCACATCCACCTCGCCCACTGCCTCTATTACAAGGGCGCGCAGGTCGGCGTCGCCGCCACTGCCAGCGCGGCCAGTACGCGCGCGCGTTTTCGCATGGCCGGATCGCGAAACCAGCGGGGCAAACCCGTGGAGTGAGCCGCCGGGGCGATCCCCCAAGCCGCGGGGTGAGCCGCCGGGGCCGCTGGGACAAACCCGCATGTCTCGAACTAGTCGCGGCCGCGCTGAAGCGGGAGGCAGCGCGAAGCCGAGCTCGTCCGCGAGCTGCTCCGCCTCGGCCGTGGAAATCTCCGCTCTCTCGCCCAACTCCCCGGGCGCCTTCCGCAGGGGCGCCAGCGGCCCGCGCCCCAGATGCTCTCGCGCGGGGCGGCTGGAAGATCAGCACGCTCCGGATGCGCGCGGCGCCGGGGAACATGGCGCAGAGGCGCAGCCACCGCGACTCGCCCGACGGGCACGTGCGACAATCCCTCTGATTCCTGGCGCCGTCGGTGGCGACGCCCGTGCGCAGCGTCTGACCCTGCGACAGCGTGGAGGTCAGGTAGGACCCGCGCGCCATGGCAAAACCCGAGCGGCGCGCGACGTGCGGCCGCGAGCTGCGCCATGTGCACTCCTGCTCCATGGGCATCTACGCACTTGGGATGACCCGCCCGGGTTCGAACATGAAGCGCGGGGC